GTGATCAAGGTCGACGGTGGTGTCGACAGGAGTCAGGCGCGAGTGCAGCGATCGACGGCGGCTGCAGGCAGCTCGCGTGCCGACGTCGCTCTCCTCTACGAAGCGGTGGAGGGCTCTCGGTGACGACGCATGTGATGGCGGGCGGGATTGCACAGACGTATGGCTACTTCAAGTTCTCGCCGGACCGGATCACCGTCGCACCGCTGCAAGGTCGACGGGACCTCATCACCTAGAAGGAGTCGATCGAACCTCAGCTGGAGGTCGCCGGGCTGAAGGGCTTCACCGACGGCACAGTGCCAATTCCGCCCATGGATGATGTCGAGCTACGCGGGGAGTTTTGTGCGGCTCACTTGCTCACCTTCATGGTCATCTCGGTGTGCTGCTCCCCGGTGGTGCAGGTGGCGCTCAGGAGCTGTCGAGAGCGACTGGATGCTGGTCACCAGGCATGGCACTTCATCCTGTCGACGTACCAGGTCAGGGAAGACCTGTACATCAGACAGCTGGAGGAGAAGATGACACACATTCGGATGGGAGAGCAGGAGTCGGCGACGGACTACTGCAACCGTGCTCGACGGATCTTGGCTGAGATGCGGATGGCGGGCGCCGAATACTCGACGGCGTCCTACATCTCCCACATCGTCAAGGGCCTGCCGCGCGGCTACAACCTCATGAAGAGGATGATGATGGTACCCGGCACGCGTGAGTCCCTCGAAGAGGACTCCATCACTAGCTACATTCTTCAAGACGAGGAGATGCAAGAGGCCGAACAGCCCACGGAGCTCCTTCCTCAGGCAAACTACACTGCACCGATGGAGCTGAATCAGCAGCAAGGGCAGCGCTGGAAGCCGGGCGGAGGTGGTAGCGGAGGTGGGCGGTCGACGAGAAGAGGTCAACGCAGGACAAGGGCCGAGGAGGTGGTGGTCGATGGCGGGAGTGCTGGATTTGCCACGAACCCGACCACTTTTCCTATGAGTGTCCCGACCGCGATGACAGCGATGAGGACGACACCAAGGGAGGCCGTGGTCGATCGACCAGCCGTCGCCCACGACAAGATGCGAAGACGCGCAAGGAGAAGCAGGCGTCGAAGAAGACGTTGTCGACGAAGGACGTCGACAACTCCAGCGGCAAGAGCCGAGGCGACGGGGAGGTGTCGTGCTCGATGGTCTGCGTAGTGGAGCCGACAGTTTCGCTGGCGCTGGAGGCTGGCGAGGACTTCCAAGCGGTGGCGGCAGCTGTGCAGGCAAACCCGATGGTGGTGCTGCTCGACAGCGGTTGCTCCCACCACCTGATGGGGACGAAGGCTGTCTTCGTCGACATGGTGCCGAGCGACGATGTGAAGCACGTGCGTGGATTCAACGGGGCGCTACAGCCTGTCGAGGGTCGCGGAACCGTCGTCCTGCAAGGGGAGGCCGGGAAGCGGGTCCTCATCCCCGACGTGCTCTACGTTCGGGCGTACAGGCGAACCTGCTATCCGCTGGCCAGCTGAAGGAGAGCGGAGTGCAGCTGCAGGGCGACGGCGACGAGATGCTGCTCGTCGCCGCGACCGAGGAGGTGTTCGGTAGAGCACGCTACAACGAACGGGTCCTCTGCACCGACCTTCGCCCCTGCTCGACGCGATCATTGTCGACCGAGGTGGTGGCTCTACGGACGATCGTCTCGGCAACGAAGTCGACCCCTGAGCGGTTGCATGCGAGGCTCGCGTACTTCGGAGTCGACACGATCAAGAGCTCGGTGAAGCATGAAGTTGCTACTGGGCTCAACATCAAGCCTTCGACCGGAGCAGACCCACCGTGTGTCTCGTGCGTCGGAGGAAAGCTGGCACGGCACACCTTCCCCGACAAAGGCTCGGACGCCGAGGAGGCGCTGGCTGTCATGCACATTGACTTGTGCGGGCCATTTCGGGTTGCTGCCAAGGATGGCAGCTTGTACTTCCTGCTATTGAAGGATCGCCACACTCGATTTGTGTGGGTGATGCCGGTCGCTAAGAAGAGCGACGTGATGCGGGAGTTCTAGAAGTGGCTGGTGCTGGTAGAACGGCAGGCGAAGAAGTCGGTGCTGATGCTCCGCTCAGACCGGGGAGGGGAGTTCCTCGGGAAGGAGTTCGCCGACTTCGTCAACGGCAAGGGCATCGTCCACGACCTGACGTGCCCTTACACTCCGCAGCAGAACGGCATGGCTAAGCGGGATATGCGCAAAGCTGTCGAGTCCGTGAGGACAATGCTGCTGCACATGAGCGTGCAGCACCACTTGTGGCACCTCGCTCTAGGACAAGCTGTCTGGGTGCGCAAGTGCTTGGAGCGGTCGACGACGCCGTCGGGGACGACTCCGTACCAGTTGCTCACAGGGAAGAAGCCCGACCTCACGTTGGCGCGGGTGTGGGGCTGCATGTTGCAGTTCATGGTTCCTGAGCAGTAGCGCGGTGGAAGCTGGCGCCGAATGCTCGCTGGGGGCTTCACTTGGGTGTGTCGCCGGAGAGCAAGGGTTGGGAGGTACTCGATCTGACCAACAACGAGGTGGTCACGTCGGTCGAGGTGATCTTCTACGAGACGCTATCGCTGGAGGTGTGGAAGGCGAAGCATGGGCCAGCGTTAGGGCGGACGCAGGCAAACCCACCAACGGACACCTCGACGGCAACGGTTCCCATGCTCGCCGAAGTCGACAAGCCTGCTGGTGAGGATGTTGTGGAGGTTCTTCCACCTTCCCCTGTTCTTGCTCCTCCCTTCCCCGTCACAGATCGGCCTGCGTTGACATCTGTGTCGGCCACCGGTGATGAGGGGAGCCTTGAGGCGTCGCCTATGGCGCCGGCCAGTGGCATCGCCGGCTGTGAGAGTACGCCGACGTTCGACATATTTCTCATTTCCATATTTTTACTCCATCTTATTCTCCTTATTTTCCTCTTTCATTTGCACTTTATTTCACCTCAATCGGACTACTATTCTATTTTCTGGAGCTTTCTGATTATTTCACTTATTTGGTATTTTCGGCACCGACATTTACATTATACGGCACCGACAGCACCGACAGTGGTGTACAAGGCGTAATCTCGCCATAATCCGAAGTGCCAATGGGCTTGCGTGCTTATGCGCACTTGTGATTATCTATTCTAGAAGAGCGTGTTCCCGAAGGTTCGGATTATCTGTTGTTTCTATGTATTTCTGAGTATAAATACGCCTTGTACTCGCCTTGAGTGCAACATCATCGAGTGGAAATTCGATCCTGTGACACTTGGTATTCAGAGCCGTTTTCACTCGCGGAGTTTCAGCTAAGCAGCGCGCTCAAGAAATTCCTGCTTCGAAAAACCGCCAGGGGCGACGAATTCGGCGCCGACGCTGGTAAGCACCAGATTCCGCGTTTTTTGAATAACCCCCCTCGCACGATTTTTGAACTGAATCGTGAGTTCGATTGTTGGCGAAAACGTTTGCGATACAAGGATGACAATTGCGAATTGTCGGGACCTATATCGAGCAGTGCAGAAGTAGCGAGACCGACGCGCGACGGATCGAACGACTTCGGGTGAAAGCGCGCGTCATGGCGAAAATTGCGACAGAAGCAGAATCGATCGTGTCTTCGCAGCAGTCGCGAAATTTTCCCAAGGCCCAAGAAATTCGAGCCCCCAACACCTTTGATGGGGAAACCGACGCTAGGCGCTGGCTTTTGGCGATCGAAATTTATTTCGCCGCCATTGGATGGACAGCACCAGCACTCGACAGAAACAGAATCAATTTTGCAGCAACACTACTGCGCGGACCAGCAATTGAATGGATAAGCAGAAGCGGTTTATTAAACCAAGGTGAAGCAACGTGGCAGCAGTTCCGTGAAGGATTACTACAACGTTTTGAGCCGATTAATGCAACGTTAATCGCCCGCGACAAAATGCATCGTCATCGACAAATCGGGAGCGTCACAAACTACACACAACAAATGGAGGAGTTGTTCAACCGCATCCCCGACATCACAGAAGGCGAAAAAATTATAGCATTCATCGCGGGGCTGAAAAAAGAAACACGAAAACATGTTGCGGCCGCAAATTGGAGCAGCTACAACGACGTCGTTTCGGCAGCGGAACGTTTCGACGTAACCACGATCGGAACACAACGACTTCATGGACGAGCTAGACGACATGGAGGACGCTTGGCTAACCCCACGTACGCCGACCCGATGGAACTCGATCGAATCGACGCGAAGGCAAGACCAAAGAAGAACAAATCTAAGTGTTCTTTCTGCGGCAAGCCCGGACATCGACTCATCGATTGTGACGAAATGAAAACTGCACGTTCAGCGCTTAGGGACCGCAGCAGTGGAGCAGATTTAATGCGAATATTGGAGGATCGTGGAGTGAATTTTTCAAACCACGAACGGACTCTACCAGGGAAAATCGCCGAGGGAAATAAAATCTCCGCGACACAAGACCCTGCTGGACCCGGACAACTCCAAAAGGACCCTGTAAAAAGTAAGCACCCCTTCAAAATATCATACAAGGATGCTTTACTTGGAAAAAATTCCCTTGGGTCTACGGCCTTTGTGAAATCACGAGAGAGGCTCCAGAAGAAAAAGAATGTACCGGTACGACAACTACAGCAGCTGCGCATGGGGAACCAACAACGGAGCGTGGAAGATCGACCTTCCAACGACGACATCGTCCTCTCTCTGAAAAACCAGCCCACGTCGACCAACCGGTCCCCACGGAAGAAGTCGGTGGCGCTGAAGCAGCTCAAGAGGGAGCTGGAGGCCAATATGAAGCTGCGATGACCTCAAACCTCCTCTACAGATGCATCTGCAACATCTGAAACTGTAAGAAGGATTGACGAAAGAATGAGTAAACTAGAAAATGAGATGGGTACAAGTAGGAAACACATAAGTGTTGTACCCTCTAAGAGCTACCCCACTACAGCCTAAATAGACCATAGCATATATACGTTTGACACACCCCCATAGGCAAAGTGGGGGAGAACAAGAGGTCACAAGACCAGTCAAGAAAAGCAAAGCAAGCTCAGGGTGGATCACAAAGTCACCACATAGTCTGAGCACAAGCAAAGGGCCATAAGGCCAGTTCACATGCAGAGTTATATAAAGGAAAGCAAACAGTACAGTGAACACAACCTAGCAAGTGTAAGCATGCAGGTATAAGTATATAGGGTACAGTACAAGCAGAGTCAAGAAGTCAACAAGTGAGGCACAGTAGGTACAAGGCCTAACACAGTACAGAATCGCTGATGATCACAAGGCTGAAGTGCCTTGGTGAAAACATCAGCAGTGTTGGCCTGAGAGGCCACGTAAGCAAGACGAAGCCGGCCACGCTGCTGCAACTCTCGAGCAAAGAAGTAGCGCAGAGAAATGTTCTTCGTTCTGTGCTCCAGTCTGTGCTCTTGACACAAGGCCAGCATGGCCTTGTTGTCGACGTACAGAACTGGAGGAGAACGAGGCGCCTCTCCCAAGTCGGTCAGCAGGTAGGTGAGCCAGCGAAGCTCCTGTGCAGCCATGGCCCCAGCGTAGATCTCAGCCTCACAACTGGAGCTGAGAACAGAAGAAGAGCGGGTAGACCGCCAGGAGACAGAACCGGAGCCAAGGCTGAAGGTGTAACCCTGTGACGACCGCTGCGTAGCCAAGTCGTCAACCCAGGAGGCGTCAGCGTGACCAGTGAGGACAACTCGAGCCCGTCCTCCAAGCACGAGCCCCATGCCCGATGTACTGCACAAGTATCGCAACACCCTCTTCGCAGCATCCCAGTGCACCTTTCGGTGCCTGCCGGGAGCCACGTAGCGAGCCAGAAGGCTGAGAGGGTATGCGAGATCAGGTCGTGTGCAAGTCATCAGGTACATGAGGCAGCCCACAAGCTCTGGATACGGGCCACTCGGCTCTACGGACTCGTCCGAAGGTGGAACTGAGAGCGAGTGACCGGTAGGCAGAGGAGTGGACTGTGGCGAGGAGTAGGTGAAGCCGAAGCGCTGAAGGACCTGCTGCACCATGTGTGACTGAGTCAAGGTAATGGTGCGCTGTGCTCTGTCCCGGGTGATCCGCAAGCCAAGATAGCTTGTGAGCTCACCCAGGTCTGTGCACGTGTGTCTCTTCTGCAGCTCGGACTTCACGTGGGCGAGTGCCTCCGTGTCAGCAGTAGCAAAGACAAGGTCGTCTACGTACACAAGAACGTAGAACGGCGGCAGAGTAGCGTCAGTGCGTAGAAACAGAGAAGGGTCAGCAGTGGAAGGAGCAAAACCAAGAGCAGCAAGAGTCGTCCTGAGCGTGTCGTGCCACTCACGGGGCGCCTGGCGGAGACCGTAGACTGGCCGCCGGAGGCTCCACTGGGTACCAGCAGGAAACGACCCAGTGAAGCCAGGTGGGCGGCGCAGCCAAATCTCCTCGTGCAGGCTGCCCTGTAGGAAGGCTGTGCTGAAGTCAAGCGAGTGGAGCTCGTAGTCACGCTGAGCAGCAACGTGCAGCAGTACCCGAAGAGTGGTCATCTTCGGGGTAGGGGAGAAGGTCTGAAAGAAGTCAACTCCCTGTCGCTGACTGAAGCCACGTGCAACGTAACGCGCCTTGAAGGCAGGCGGAGAACCCGGGGGCCGCTTCACCCTGAAGATCCACATGCCACTGACGATGTTCGCCCCAGGTGGGGGAACCTCGTCTATGTAGGTGCCTGTGGACTTCCAGGAAGCCATCTCTGCGTCCATGGCTGCCTGCCACTGAGAGGAGTAGGGACCCTCTATCGCCTCTGCGTAAGAGCGCGGGGTCGGGATGTCTAGTGCATCCGGGTCTCCCTCAGGTGCAAGCAGCATGGACACGAGATGAGGTGAAGCAGCGGCAAAGCACTCAAGGTCCTCCTGCCTGTCCTCAAGGACGTCCGTGCCAAGAGCACACTCACCCCCGACGGACGGAGGACAGACAGACGCAGACGCAGCAACAAGACTAGTGGCGTAATCTAGGCGACAGGCTGCAGCAAAGTCAACAAGCTCAGCAACAAGAGCAGACGCAGCAGAGGACTCAAACAGAGGGTCAGTGACAGCAGTGGCCAGAAAGCGCGTGACAGTAGGACTAGCAGCACGAAGGGAGTCAGACTCCGGGTCCGGACCGTCAGGAAGAGAGGACGCAGGAGGAGAGGGCAGAGGGAGACGCTGTGAAGCAGTAGAAGGACGCAGTGTCATAGAGTGAGTGCCTGGGACAGGAGGAAGACGTGGACGCGAAACACGACCAGCGCGAACAGTGCGGACAGGCGACGCAGAACGAGACGCAGGCGACACAGGACGCGACTCAGGCTCACGACGCTCCGTAAGACCTCTAGTCGGACCAGAGTAAGGAGAAGGACCAGGCAGGGGAGGGGCCGGCTGCAACTGCGACTGAGACTGGACAGGCGGTGGACTAAGGAAGGGAGGAGGAGGACCAGGAGAAGGCGGGGAGCCAAGAACCTGCTGAAGGAGGGGAACGTAGTACGGCCGCGGCCGCGCAGCGCCTCGAGAAACAGCAGAGACAGAACCGGTACCCTCAGCCCCAGGGTCTCCAGTCCCAGCAGCACCTCCAGCAGCTCTAGCACCAGCACCAGCAGCACCTCCAGCAGCTCCAGCACGAGCACCACCTCCAGCAGCACCAGCACCTCCAGTAGCTCCAGTAGCACCTCCAGCACCTACAGCACCAGCAGCACCTCCAGCAGCTCCAGCACCAGCAGCACCTCCAGTAGCTCCAGCACCAGCACCACCTCCAGCAGCGCCAGCACCTCCAGTAGCTCCAGGAGCACCTCCAGCACCTACAGCACCAGCAGCACCTCCAGCAGCTCCAGCACCAGCAGCACCTCCAGCAGCTCCAGCACCAGCACCACCTCCAGCAGCGCTAGCACCTCCAGCACCTCCAGCAGCTCCAGCACCAGCAGCACCTCGACAGCGCCGAGAGTACCACTCACGAAGCCGCTGTGGAGAGAGGGGCTCCCGCCGCGACGGGACACCCAGAGCACCTCCAGACTCAGCACCCCCAGTCTCAGCACCCCCAGTCTCAGCACCCCCAGTCTCAGCACCCCTAGCAGCACCTGAGTCGACAGCTACCTCGACCGGCTCGGCAGGGTCTACCTGGGACACACCTGAGGGGGCAGGACCCTGGGGGGGGAGGGGGTCTACCAGGGGAGTACCTGGTGCGAGGAAGAGCGGCGGGGGGGGGGGGGGAGAGGCAGTGCGGTAGGGAAAGAGACGGTAGTACGACACCGACTCGTCGAACGTGACGTCCTGAGAGGACAGAACACGACGCGAGGTGGGGTGGTAGAACTGCCACCCGGGTGCGTCAGGAGGGAAGCCAAGGAAGACACAGGGAACAGCACGGGAGGACAGCTTGTCCGCAGTAGTATCGCGGACAAAAGCTCGAGATCCCCAGACACGGAACGCGGACGCATCGCCAACCTTCCCCGTCCACCGCAGAGTAGGTGTGGTCTCCGGCAAGGAGACACGAGGCCGAAGGTTGATCTGATGCGCCGCGTACTGAACCGCGAACGGCTACAGAAAATGGGGAGCAGCCGCATGGATCATGGACGTACGAGCGACGCATTGGCATGGTCATGGTGCCAAAGGAGAGTCTCGTGTGCCAAAGGACGACACGAGCAGGGGGAAGACGCAAGACTAGTCCTGGACGCGGCAGCAAACACCTGACTGGACGCAGCTACCTGACCAGACGCAGAGACCGGAGGAGGCGCAGTAGTCAGTGTGTAGAGACTCGACCCAGGCCGACGGGTGAACGTGGCCAGGTGACGGCCCGTCCGAGAGCAAGTGCAGTGGGTCACACGCTGACCTCCAGGGGTGAACTGGTCAACCCCCGCGTCCTGGAGGTCAGCTCCACTCACCAGGTTCGTAGAGAACGAGGGGAGGTGGAGTCCCGACAGCAAGCCCGACGGGGCCGCAGGACACGGTAGGACAGTGGAGGAGTGTGCAAGTACTGGGCCCCCTGAGGGGTCAGCAAGGGAGACCGCAACAGGCCGACTGAGCGGCGTGAGCGTGGTGCTGTCTCTAAAGAAAGAGCGCGAAGCACCAGAGTCAAGTGTGAAGGTGTGAAAGGACTCAGTAGGTGCAGTACCTGAGAGAGGAGACGTACCAGCACCTGGAGCAGCAGACGCACTAGCACCTAGAGCAGCAGCCGCACTAGCACCTAGAGCAGCAGCCACAGTGCCCGGGTCGGGCGGGACACGCAGGTAACAAACACCCTCAGTAATATCAGCAAGAGCATACATGGCAGCAAGGATAGCATCAAAGTCTAGATCAAAGATAGGCACATTCTGCAGAAGCAGATCATGCCAACGAGGAAGCTCAACAGCGTCAGGAAACTGGGTACGCCAAGCGTCAGTCAGGCGGCCGAAGCAGCGCTGCGTGGTGTGTGGGAGACCACACACCTCCCCACTACGAGTGCATGTGCGAAGAACGTACGTGCAGGGACCTGCACCCCCAGACCTCCCACGCCCAGCGTACCACTCACGAAGCTGCTGAACAGACGGGGTCTCACGGGTGCGCAGCTGCTGCTGACGCTGGCCGCCACCAAGGCCTCCATGCTGCGTGGCTGCACCGCGACCAGCACCACCTCCTCCGCTACCTCCACCACCGCTGCCGCCGCCTCCACCACATCCACCACCGCCTCCACGGCCGCCACTGCCGCCACCGACGCCCCCACCCCCGGGACCACCCCCACCACCACCTCCACCTCCTCCACCGCTTCCTCCACCGCCCCCTCCACCACCCTTGCTTCCCTTGCCCTTGCCAGTGCGGCGTCGCCCACTAGGGGCAGACGCAGCGCCGACCTCCTCAGTGCCAACGAGGTCAACAGCAGCAGCAGAGGCAACAGAGGGGAGAAGGGGGACAAGGGAACACCCCTCAAAGAAGGGGGTGCGACGGTCGCCGCGGGAAGCCCCAACAGCTAAGATACTCTTCTCAGCTGCAGCAAGGCGCTCCTCTAGCAAGTCGACAGTCAGCTCGGTAGGGCAAAGGGAGAGAAAGTGATCCCTGACTGAGGAGAGAGAGTCAGGGAGGCGGGTGACTAGGTAGTAAAGGGTGATGTACATGGGGGGGGAGTTCGTGGGAAGAAACTCAGTGGGAAGGGCAGCGCGGTAGCAAGCGTCACTAGTGCGGAGGTGAGCAACTAGGTCAGCAACTGTGGCAAAGGCAGCAAGGTCAGGAAAAAGGTACGGCAGCATGAGGCGGCTGAGGGCAGCAGTGGTAGGGGAGGAGTAGCGTGCAACTACAGCGTCGTACAGAGCCCTAGCACTCTTGTACTGACTAAAGTGCGCGCGCTCAGTAGACGGCAGGTGATTACGCACAGCAAGACGAGCAGCAGCATCGCGCGTAAGCCACTGCGAGCGAACAGTACTGTCAGCATCAGCAGTAGGGGCAGTAGAGGCGCCAGACGTGAGATCGAACAGTGAGAGACCATCCTCGCTATCGCACTGTAGGAAAAGCTGCAGATCATCTAGCCAGACCTCAAAGTCAACAGCTCGACCCTCAGCATCAAAGGTAAGAACATTGAGACTAGCCATGACAGGAGAAGCAGCAGGCTAGCAGCAGCAGCAGTGCAACTCGGCTAAGCAGGCTAGGCAGGGCGGCGCAGCTCGGCAGGGCGGTGTGGCTCGGCAGCGCGGCGCTCTTTCCAGGGGAGAGGCTGGGGCAGGGCCGGGGTAGGGCCGGGGCAGTTCAGGAGCAGGGCCGGGGTAGGGCCGGGGCAGAGCCGGGCCAGGGCCGGGGCAGTTCAGGAGCAGGGCCGGGGCAGGGCCGGGGCAGGGCCGGGGCAGGGCCGGGGCAGAGCCGGGCCAGGGCCGGGGCAGTTCAGGAGCAGGGCCGGGGCAGGGCCGGGGCAGGGCCGGGGCAGGGCCGGGGCAGAGCCGGGGCAGGGCAGGGGCAGGGTCGGGGCAGGGCCGGGGCAGAGCCGGGGCAGGGCCGGGGCAGTGTCGGGGCAGGGCCGGGGCAGGGCCGGGGCAGGGTCGGAGCAGGGCCGGGGCAGGGGGCAGGGCCGGGGCAGGGCCGGGGCAGGGCCTGGGCAGGGTCGAAGCAGGGCCGGGACCGGGCCGCGGCAGTGCAGGAGCAGGGCCGGGGCAGAGCTGCGACAGGGCTGCAGCTGGGCCGGCGCAGGGCCGCGACAGGTTGGGGTAGGGCCGGGGAAGGGCCGGACTGGGCCTGACGGGGCCTGACGGGGCCGAGAACTGGGCCTGACGGGGCCGTACGGGGCCTCTAACGGGGCCTGACAGGGCCTTACGGGGCCTGACGGGGCCTCAAACGGGGCCGAACGGGGCCTTACGGGGCCGTACGGGGCCTAACGGGGCCTTAAACGGGGCCTGACGGGGCCTTACGGGGCCTTACGAGGCCTTAAACGGGGCCTGACGGGGCCTTACGGGGCCTTACGGGGCCTTAAACGGGGCCGTAAACGAGGCCTTACGGGGCCTGACGGGGCCTTACGGGGCCTTACGGGGCCTTACGTGGCCTTACGGGGCCTTAAACGGGGCCGTAAATGGGGCCTTACGGGGCCTTACGGGGCCTTACGGGGCCTTACGGGGCCTTACGGGGCCTTACGGGGCCTTACAGGGCCTTACGGGGCCTTAAACGGGGCCGTAAACGGGGCCTTACGGGGCCTAACGGGGCCTTACGAGGCCTTACGGGGCCGTAAACGGGGCCTTACGGGGCCTTACGGGGCCTAACGGGGCCTTACGGGGCCGTAAACGGGGCCTTAAGGGGCCTTACGGGGCCTTACGGGGCCGGAAAAGGGGGCCTTACGGGGCCTTACGGGGCGGGCGCTGGCTCTAAGGGCAGGCGCAGGGGCCGCGACAGGCCTCGAAGGGAAGGCTCGACGCGCGCGTCGAGCAGGCAGTGAAGAATTTCAGTGGTGGGCCCTTTTTAAAAATACTCGAAACTAGCTCTATACCATGTAAGAAGGATTGACGAAAGAATGAGTAAACTAGAAAATGAGATGGGTACAAGTAGGAAACACATAAGTGTTGTACCCTCTAAGAGCTACCCCACTACAGCCTAAATAGACCATAGCAGATATAAGTTTGACAGAAACATCTACGGTATCCACCCCATCTATGAATTCTACTACGAGCTCGAGAACCACGTCGTCGACGACAACAAAAAATCATGGCAATAGGGAACGGCAGGACCGGCCATCTGCCACCCCAGGAGAAAACACAGAGCTA